TATTATTTATGTAGAGTGTTCTTACTCAAACTAAACACAAATGCATCATTATCTTTATTATTTTAATTATTAGATGCCCAAGAGATAGATGTATAACCTCCAAAAACTTGCTCATGTTCACTTTATATGAATGAAATTGTTGGACCTTGATTATCGCATTTTTAATGAAAACTTGATGCTAAGAATCCGTCTTTTGTACCCTAATATAAGAGTTTAGTTTATCCATTTAGTGGTAAGCCATTTATCTGTTAATTTTTCAAAGTTTCTAAATGATAGTCAACCAATCCCCTGAAATGCTTTACTTTATCTTTTTCAAGGATCAATTGTGTTAAATCAGGTATCTTAGGTTTATTTAGAATCTGAATGAATTCAAGATTCTCAAGTTTTGAGTTCTTATAGTAATTTTACTAATTTTCAAAGTGAAATAGACTCTTTTCTTCCAAAGACTATCCCAAATACTTATTTATTTAAGTCATCATATCAACAAACTCACTAGCTCCAAACATCTTATCCTTGTTTTGATATTATTAAAGACTGTGAATAAGTACTTGAATTTTTTCTAATAGGCTTTTTAGTGAAGGGATTTTATGTTCAATATAATCTTCCAAATCCTTTCTTAGAATATTCTAATGCTCAGTCTTTTCATTACAGCAATTACAATCTGTTTAGCAAATATTACAGAGCATTTTTTACTATTATTTGCAATATTTCTTGACCATTTTGTGGGGATGAGTGTCGCAATTTATATTCACAGTACTCATTTTATCAAGATAGGCCATCAATCCTTTCACAGGAATCAACTTAAAACCTTCCAATTGCTAGCAAGAATCATCTAAAGGACAAGTTATAGTCTCCTTTTAAGACTGGTGTTGAATGCATTGATTGCAATAGATGTGACCACAGGATAGCATCATTGGCAATCTCTTGTTTAGATTGTAAAATAGATTGCAACTTGGGCATATGTAAGTAGTATAAGCGTTCATTGTTTACATAGATATTTTAGAAATGGATTCTCTTAT